CCTCCTGGGTTCAAGCAATTCTCCTGCCTCAGCCTCTCAAGTAGCTGGGATTACAGGTGCCTGCCATCATGACCAGCTGATTTTTGGATTTTTAGTAAAGACAGGGTTTCACCACGTTGACCAGGCTGGTCTCGAACTCCTGACCTCAGGTGATCCGCCTGCCTCGGCTTCCCAAAGTGCTGAGATTACAGGCATAGGCCACCACGCCCAGCCAGCAGCAGATGTTCATGTGTGGATGATGACTGCATCTCTGGGAACAGCAGTGAGGTCTGAGTGCTCATCCCCGCCCTGGAGAGGGCACAGCCACCCCTTGGAGACAGGAGTTACGGCTGCAGAGGCTCTTGCTTTTCATCACAACCTTCAATCACACCTAGATTTCCAAGTGAGTGCCGGCACTTGCTAGCTTTGTGAACTTGGGCAATTAAGTAACTTCTACTTGCCTAGATGTTCAAATCTGTCAAATGGGGGATGGTGACAGACACCTCCCAAGGCTGCCTGAGGAGTCAATGAGATAACTCAGGCAGAGACCCATGGCAGCGTGAAACCCGTGTGAAGCAAATGTCCAGTTGACAGCAATTATCCTAGTAACTCTGTTTTCAACCATCTCCACCTTTCACAAAACAGCTTCAAACCACCTCTACTCGAGGACAGATCTAAATCACCAAATCTAGAATTAAACAGAACTATACACATGGCTCCTTCAACAGGTCACCCCAGGCCTGACCTTGAGACCAGGCTTTCCATGCCTTTTCCTGTCTCCAGCAAAGTGCAGTGTGGTTAATCTCCAAGGTCGTCCCAATCCTAACGGTTACCTCCAAGCAAGCAGGACACATACTCACTCACGTTTTTTCTTACAGTGAAACCCTTAATTCCAAAGCATGCAATTGCTACAAAACATAACAGAATCATTCCTTCCACCTATCTGGAAATTATTAGAATGAAAATGTGAGCTTCGTACACACGCAAACGCCCCAGAGCCAACTGAGGCAGGGGCACTTGGGATAGGGATTTGGACTGAAAACCTGACTTACCTAAGGGCACGGTGACGATGACATGGTGCACTGGGAACTGGTCTCCATCCTCACACTCGACCGACACGGGAAAGGTCTCGCCGGGAAAGGCTGCCTCCTGGAAGGACCCGTTCCAGTGGATGGTCTTCACAGGCTTCTCAAAAACCACCGTGTCCTCCGGCAGGGAGGCCATCATGCAGTTTGTGAGCCCTTGGTAGCCCCTAGGAAGACAGAAGTGCTGGTTTCGTAGAGCCCCAGTCCCTGGAAGGGCAGGGCTGGTGGAAATACCTGCTCGGAGTTCCCACCCACATCGAGGGTAGCTGCAGGGAGCTCTCCATCACTTGGGGCCAGCTGCACTCTGTGGTTTTCCACCGCAAGGATGCTCATACCTGCTCTCCAGGCCATAAGGGAGGGTTCAGTGGGCACAGAGCTCCCAAAGCAATTTGCCAGAACCAGGGCTTCCTCCTTACCACCCCAGAGTTCCTGACTCACAAATGCCCATCGCCTGGCCAGGAGCCTTGGGGACAACACCAGGGGTGACGTCTAGGAGAGTGAGGGGACAGCCCAAGGAGGGTCTCACCTGTACCTGGTACCCAGCAGCCACCCTGCTACAGGGATGTCTGGCCCCCTCTGCAGTCGAAGCCCCTCACAAATACAGGAGCAAGAGAAGTCTTTCCTTCTGGTTTTTGTTTGTTTGTTTTTTTGTTTTTTTCTTTTGAGACAGAGTCTCACTCTGTCCCCCAGGCTTGGAGTGCAATGGCATGGCATTGGCTCACTGCAACCTCCATCTCCCAGGTTCAAGCAATTCTCCTGCCTCAGCCTCCCGAGTAGCTGGGACTACAGGCACGTGCCCACACACCTGGCTAATTTTTGTATTTTTAGTAGAGATGGGGTTTTACCATGTTGGCCAGGCTGTTCTTGAACTCCTGACCTCGTGATCTGCCCACCTTGGCCTCCCAAAGTGCTGGGATTACAGGAGTGAGCCACCGCGCCCGGCCTTACCTTTCGTATTTTAACCACCCTCTCTCTGAAATAACTTTTTTGGCTTACATGAGCAAAACTAGAGAAAGGAGCAACCAGTCTGTCTGAATGGGGAGGACAAATGGTCTCCTGTCCCTCCCATACCCAAGCAAGAGCAGAGAATGGCCAACCCCGGGGCCCTGGGGAGCCTGGTGGGAGGACTGGCCTGGCAGGGGCTCAGGCACGCACTTAGAAAAGGTGCAGTCCAGACCCGGCAGCACGGTGTACTCCCCAAAGGGTGCAAGGGCCACCAGGTCCATGCTGTGGGTGCCGCTCACACAGCACTCCAGGTTGAAGAAGGAGTTCAGGACGGCCAGCTTCAGCTTCCTGGTCTCCTCATCCTCTGTCCAGCTGGTCACGTGCTGGCCAATCTCCTTCTTGAGGTACTCCCCGACGCTGGGCACCGGGGTCTCCGCAGCATGCAGGAACTCCCGGGTCTGGTCTATCAGGCCGTAGAAGAGAGTCGCCATCTCCGCCACCAGTTGGAGGCTCACGCGGGCCCCGGAGCTGGCGTAGCTCACGGAGGGCAGGCCCACGTGACCCCCGGTCTCCACCAGCTGGTTCTCCTCGGACAGCTCCTTCTCCCCCAGCAGCCCGTACTCAGCAGCCAGCTGGAAGACGGGGTTGCCCCGGGAGGGCCCATGGATCCAGTGCGCGCCCACCTCCACCACGCCACCTGCGAGGGGAGAGCAGATGCCACCTGGGGGTTCCTTTCTCAGAACGGTCACTCCGCGCCCTTCTCCTGGGCCACGCCCACGCTGCCCTTCCCAAGTAGGACGTGACCACACTGTCCCCAAGGGCCCTGTCAGACCCAGTTTAAGGGGAGCACCTGGGCAGGACAGCACTTGTCGGGCGGTCTGGACCAGAGAGAGGGGTGCAGGGTGGGTGTACCCCGGGGCTGGGTGGGGGGTCTGTGGGGCACAACCAGGAAGGCCTTGTGGAGCCGTAGGTCGCCTTCTCTGGCCGGCGCCCCCCTGACTAACTCTGAGCCTTGAGTTTGGGGCGGTGAACTCTGGCCGATTAAGCGAGCGGGGATTTCCTCGGGGGGCCCGGTAAGGCGGCCGGGCCGGTCAGCTGCGCGCAGGGCTG